ACGAGGGTCGGCTGAAATTTTATATTTATTATTATTATTAATACAAGATATTAAAACAAAAACATGTCAAAATCGTCAGACAATAGGTTTCGTCGGCACTGCGTTGTCACTTACCATCGTCTAAAAAGGCACAACGTAACACGAAAGCTATTCTCTATTGATTTCAACATGTTTGTGGTTCTAATATCTAATAATAAATTAATAATAATAATATTGATATATTGCTCTATTTAGTATTGAGCACTATTTTTAAAAGTATATCCTACAAACAGAGGAATTTTACTTTATCTGTTCTTTCTCTCATTTGCATATATATATATATATATATATATATATATATATATATATATATACTAGGGATAAGTATAGATTTGATCCTCACCGCTCAATGGTACACGGAGTTTCATGCATATAGCCATCGCTATGTACAAAATTACATTTTCCTACACCCTTTTACTTATAAATTAATGGCAAGATAATGAAAAAGTTCTTTTTCATGTGGGAGCAATATAAATTTTCGCACTTTTTTACATAAAGCATTGTTTTATTATTACTGCCAGAACTAACTGTGTTCTATTATCTATATTGTTAGCAAAACATCGGTTATTTGACAATTGATTCGAACTTTATAAAATGGTAAATAATAAGAATTTTTTGTAGTTGGTTCACAAATTTATAAATGTATGGCTAAAAAATTGTTTTCATGATTATGTCTTTATAAATTAGTAAATGATAAATGTTGCAATATATTAGTTTTAATTGTATTGGCTTTTATAATATTGTAAATATAAAATTATTCTTGTAAATAAACAATCTAATAAATAGTGTTTAATATTTTTGTTGCAAATTCTCAATATCAAAAACAGGTACAGATTCTCTTTCATCACATGTTTAGATTTTATTATAATTCTAATTATCGCTTTTTAAATCAATATTACTCAGAAATAAAGGTAGTTGAAATAATAGCGATGTCCTTCTGATAATCTGTTTTTGCGGGCACGAAGCCCGAAGTATGACGAATTCACTTCGATAAGGATTTTTTAGGATTGATTTGTTTGAAGTAAATTTCAATCATTGATCTGAGAAAACGTTTGTATTAATAATGTAATTAAAATAGTTCGTTAATGTTGTCAGATTTTCAAAATCACCGATTAAAATTGTCAACATTTCCTTCCCTTTGTACAGAGCTTAAATATCTTTACTCTAAAGCTGTGATCAAAATGCTAAGCTAGTTACCGCTCTCTGAGCAGAAAATGGATTTATTCGAATAACTAAGCAATTTAATTATCAAAACCCTAAGCAAAATCAACGCTTATTTATAAATACCACTAAAGGTCAGACTGCTAAAAAATGAAAAAAATATTTTAAAAAATACTGGTTTTTAAAACAGAGTAGGCAAATTAGTTAAAGCCATTAAGCAGAGAGACACATACTCTTAGATATAAATAGAAACAACTATATATTTATGCGAATTTACAATTATTTTATGCGAGAAAGTGACTGAAGCCGAGATGCCAGCTCAGGACTAATAACATTGCAGATTCTTCATTGTATTTTATTTTTAAATCTCTAAATATATATCTGAAGCACCCGACCAAATGTGGCAGACCTTTCGTTTTTCACGACAGACATGTCTTTTTTTATTATTATTAATAAACGTTTAAGTCATTTGCTCTTTGCATTTTACAGTAACATAGTAACGTGTAACAACAGGAGAATTTAGAAAGCTATATCATTAATTTCTGTCAAGTTTCCTTAGCAAGATGTTTAATTCACCTACGTGGGACGATATTTACAATAGCTACCGAAGTCCAAAGACAACCTAGGCGATTGTCGTCATCGCGACACTGTCAATCTTCTTAAATGTTAATAATATTTAAACAAAACAACTCGGCTAAGAGCAGCGTCACCAAGGGTTGGTTGCGTCAGTGAACGAATTTCTAAGCGACAAAATAAAACAATATTTAAATGAGGTGTTTGTGAACAAATATTACAGAAAGGAAACTTAGGTCTTATGTCTGAACACTTTTTATATAAATAGCGTTAAAGCCGCGAGAGGCTTGCGAAATTGCGTCTGTGGGAAAGTGGGGGGGAAATAATTCATCATTCACAAGGACATGGAAACGCTTTTAGTCTCTATCGAGACTAGAAGGGAACACTGCTCAGCTCCTGTCCATATATGGCAGCAGTATTTTATTTCGGGCCTGATCTGCCTGTTGCAAAATGAGATAACATGATTGATTCATCTTTATGTTGATATTTTTCTGTTTCTACGGTTTATCAAATCTTTGTTTTAAAATAATAGTTTAAGACTATCATTTTTTAGTGGCACGTGTATTTTGGTTCAGATATTCTGAGGCTGACCTTTGAGGTCAGGTGTTAGACAAAATAGGGAAGTCGATTTTTGATCGGCTGAGCTGAACGTGGAAATGAGTTGTAGATTAAGGTTTTTCAAGAGTTCTTGTTTGGACGTCAAGCTAGCTAGCCGTGTTAGATTGCATTTATGCACGCCCCAACGGGGAAAGGTCTTTCGAGAATTGGTTATTGCACATCCAAAGAAATGAACGTGTGAGATTTTTGTGTTTAGAAGTGGCTCCCAAATAATGGATTCAGTATGTAATGTACCAGTCGACGTGGTTAATAAAATAATAGTTAAGTTAAAAGTCTTTTTTGTTGATGCTTTTCGTCTCTGAACCCAAAGAACATTTTGCGACAACGACCAAGAATGGTATGCAACATATGCAGGTCATTTAAAGCTAGGAAATATTTTTCGATTGTAAGAAACACATTTTTTGCGATAATAGTGGTTTAGTGATATAAATCTTACTAATTAACCCTTAGCTGCCGAGAGAAGACGTGAATTCATGCCTTTCCCAATGGTTTTACCGTGCAAGTGAACCCAACTGAATTTGGGTCTCAGCTCTCCGATTAATATTTCTGAGGCGCACATACAAGCTTACAGCCCAAGCGGTTACCCATTTAGGCACTGACCAGACACGACGTTTCTTAACTTGGATAATCGTACGGAAACCGGTTTTTGAACGTGATGAGGCCGTAAAGACAGGATAGGAGGGATCAGGTATTTACTAAAGCGGTACAAGGAACCGATAATTTTTCCAGAATCGTTAGCTATGCATTGCATGTACAAATTCCGTAGCGTCTGTGCTGAGCTTACGTCCCAACAGTTGCCCTGAGAGAGCGTCTCTTTATCGCTATAGGGGAAAATTCAAGGTCTGCTTGGCGATGACAGAACGTCATTAGTTTAGAATTTCGAAGCATTTATTAGGACCAGCTAGTTTCCCCCCCACACACACACACAAACACACACACTGAGATTGCTCGGGGGAGAGATCAACTGCTAAGCTGTAGTCATCTAGAACTTCAAAAGATAGGATGCTGTGGAAAGCCATAATCACCCACGTCCTGAAGGATCACGATGAATTGATCATCTGCATCTTCATGAAATCGCCAATCTTCTTTTCTTTTTTTTTTATAATGTAATTTTCTGCTTATTTCAGTTATAGGAAAATGACTGAACAGGCTCTAAGTCAATAACTCACTAACAACGCCGAAAGCACTGAAGCAAGATTGATTAGATAGTTGGACGCTGGACAGAATTTCTCTGGCGATGGACTAATTGGCAATCCAATTCTTGCTTGGAGCACATCCTTTCAGAGAAGTCTCATTAAGACGAACGTAAAGATTCTTCGGATGCCTGAACAAAGAAAGGTGAAATACATTAAATGAACAGACGAGGTTAGTTTAAAATAGGTCATTTTCTCAGATGAATAATTACGAATCTATTAATACTTCAAAGTAATAAAACCTTTGACTATTTATTCCTTCTGAATTTATATTAATGCCGTGAACAATTTCTCTTATTTGAATCAATCTAATACTACTAGTTAAGCTAAGTCTTCTAAAATTTTGGCCATATTTAACTAATTTTGCATTTGTATTCGTACTTATCTGTAGTCCTTATATAATATACAGATATAAAGGTAACATAGAAAGGAAAGAATTCCTATAGACTGTAGAGAAGGAAAGCGAGAAGAAAGGGCTTAACATCAGCTGCAAGAAAACATAATGCACTTTTGTAGGCAAAAGGAACATCCCAAAATGCAAATTACGGTTTGCTGAGAGCAAAATCAAACAACTACAACAATTTAAATATCCGAGAATTATTCTAACAGCGGACGGAAAGCGTCAAACTGAAAACCAAAGAAGCATTTGAATTACGAAAGTGGCCTTCAAAAAGCTAAGCAAAGTATTAAGAAACAGTAAAATATCTGGAAAGTGTTCCAACAGATGGCGGAAAGTGTGACACTGAAACCCGAAGCCGTATTGGAATAGCAAAAGATGTCTTCCAAAAGCTAAGCAAAGTACTAAGAAACAGTAAAATATCTGGAAAGTGTTTTGACAGAGGACGGAAAGTGTTTTGACAGAGGACGGAAAGTGTGTCATTGAAATCCGATGGTGCATTGGAATGGTGCGAAAGATGTCTTCCAAAAGCTAAGCAAAGGAAACAGGAAAATTTCTTTACAAACAGTGAAAAGAGTATTTAACTGTTACGTAATATCAGTTCACTTATATGACAGTCAATGACAATCTTCTAACAGATGAAAAGAAGAATTTAAGCAACAGAAATGTGGTTCGACAGAAAGATGCCACTGACCGAATCATTGAGGAACAACGAAGTTCTAAAGCAAATGTTATAAATAAAGAACATTTATAAAGTATTTAATCTCCTTCTCTGAAGACCCCCCCCCTCTGAAGCAAATGGACTTCATCCAATAATGTTTCCATCGAGGGAATCATTCCCGGAAATCAGGTTTGCAAGCATCTGCCTCGACGCGTTCTCTTGGATTTCCTCGACGTCTTGAAATCTTAAAAGTGGGATTTGATAGATGGAATAGACAGAGATATGAACAAGCATTCATGGAATTCGTTTTTTGGCGATAATGAGAGCTCCCTCGTCACATTCTCTTGGGGGATTACCGTCACATCCTTGCCGAATCGCCGGTTCGCTTATGATCACCGAAGTTAAGCAACGTTGGACATGGTCAGTACCAAGATGGGTGACCGCTTGGGAAGACCATGTGCTGAAAGCTTGTATGTGCGGATAGTATAATGAATAATGGCTCGTAATTGTTAATCAGCTAGGTTCGTTATATAAACTCTACGCTCAAATAACAGTAAGAAATCTATGAATTCACCTATTATCCCCCCATCTGTGGGTTAATTAGTAAGACTTGTATCGCTGAAACATCAATATCTACGACAAATTCTCACAATCTAAAAATATTTTCTGACTTTAAATAACCTGAAAAGTGTAAAAAGGAATCACTCACTTGCGTGCATTATCTTGGGTTAGCTCGACGCCTTGAAATCTTGTTCCTCTCAGCTGGGTTTTAATTATGTGAAGAGGAAAAAGTCGCAGCCTGCTAGATCTGGGGAATATCGTTCTTGGCCGAAAACTGCTGCACAAACTAAGGTTACTGATGGAACCTCTGTGCTGCGTTGAGAAACCACACTCTACACACTTTCCTTCCAAGCATTGCTATAAACACCTTGAGCGAGCGAGAACGTTCTAACTTAGTGTGTATGTGCTACAGAGTTCGGGGTCAGTCTGTACCAAGCAGCGTACTTTAGCTACGTCACCATAGCAACAGTTTCAATATATTTTGATCGGGACTCATATGTTACTCTCTGAGAATTTATTACCATAGCGCAACAGAATGACATTTGATATGACGGACGAATCTACGTCTCTTTTTGCAAACAGTTATCATTTATACATTGGCTATTTCAGTTTCAATGCCTTCTCTTCACAATCGTACGATCAACGAAGTTAAGCAACGTCGTAGTCTGGTCATTACCTAGATGAGTGACCGCTTGGGAATACCAGGTGCTGTAAGCGTGGATGTGTGTGTGGTGTAATGAATAGGGACTCAGAATAGTTAATCGGAAAGCTGTTTCAATTCCGGTTGTGTTCGTTATATTCACTTGTGTGCAAATGCCAATGAAAAAAGTATGAATCCATCTCTTCACCCACTATCCATGGGTTAATTAGTAAGACTTGTATCAATAAACAATTATTATCTCCAAAATTCCTACAATATAAAAATATTTATCTAGCTTTTAATAACCTGTAAAGGCCGGAGAAAAATAATCAATGATTACAATGTGTTTTCATTTTCCTAATTCATTCAATTCTTAATATATGCACATTCATTTTTTTTATATAAATGCAAATAAAGAACAAATCAGTAGCTATAGAACATTTTATAACGGGATAGTTTTAGGTTGTTTTTTTTTTCCTTACGGCTATCTGACTTTGTTTTGTTTTTCCCAGACTATAGTGACTCGAACACATATTACCGTCTGCATCTATTTTAGTTGAAACCTTATCTAAAAAAATATGTTGTTTTACTGTCGGTGTTTTTTGAGGTACAGTAAACAAATGAAAATTTTATGTTATTTCATAACATTGAATTAAAATAAAAAAAAAAAAACAAAAAACACAAAAAAAAAACAACTCTTGCTCAAAGCTGATGACACAACTATTTACTCCTGTCTCAAAAGTAAGTCTATTCAGTCCGATGAGCTGAAATTGTTAGGTGATGTAAAAACGACCTACAATTTGCTATTAACTGGGGTATAAGGTCTAAGTATCCTTGCTATATACGAGGTTGGGCTGAAAAGTTTATAGGCTGACTGTGAATGAGCGATGCTAGAGCTGTGAAACATTGTATGCATTAAATTCAAATCTTCTTATTAATAACTACATTGATTTTTTTTTAGGTAAACTAACATCTGACTGTTCAGAAAATACTCCAAAAATAACTAGTAGCGACCTCTCTTAATAATAAACAAAATTTAGCATCGTGGTGTCCCTGAAGAAAAAAAGGTTTAGCCCCCAAGGTCATTGAAGTTGATATGGTTGCTATATTAAAGGGTGGTGATGAAGTTTTATCAACAGTCCAAATGTGTGCAGCTGAATTTATCTCTTGAAGATGACACAAGGTCTGGACTTCCTTTGACTGTCACCACCGAGGAAAATATTGATCCTGTTCAATATATGAAGATGGATGACAAGCAATTGAATATAAATCAAAGAGCTTAAGTATAGAATTAGGTGATTCATCATTGGTTTCAGTAAACAGCTTGCCCTAGATAGAGCTGAAAAGGTGAAGACGCTTAGGGCTAGATTTTCACGGGCGGTCGCTGGGGGGGTGATCCCCTAGAGGTAGCCTTAGCTAGGGAGGCCGTGGAGCGCTCGAATAGCGAGTGCTACATGGGCCAGGTAATTAGACATAGGTTAGGCAAGATATCTTCCGAACTGTGAACATAGGCGCAGACTTGCGCAAAGAAAAAGATCCGTCGAGGATGCGATCGTTACATTCGTGAAGTCAATAGCCCGAAATGGCATACTCTTCGGGTCACTGACGACATGTGCGAGGCGTTTTGGCGGCATTTCGAGAGCCGCTTTAACAAGGAGATTGATCTTCGTGAGGACGAGTTTCGCAGGTATTTGGCAGACTTTCCTCGGCTTTTGCCGACTGAAGCGACCATCTGCGAGGGCGAGATCCCGGAAGACGAGGTCTACACGGCAATGAAGAAGGTCGGCAGAGGCAAGTCGCCCAGTCTGGATGGTTTGCCCTATGAATTGTACTTGAGGCTCTCGCACATCTTTGTCCCGATTTTGACTGTCGTGTTCAACAACTGGTTCCGGCAGGGGTCCCTCCCCTACCGGCTCTCCATGTGTGTGATCACGCTGTTGAAAAAGGGCAAGGGTGTTGGGGGAAAAACAATATGATTACAGGCCCATAACTATGCAAAACACAGAGTTAAAGATTTTGACCAATATCCCGCAGGAGCGTTTGCAGTCAGTTGCCAAGTCTCTGTTGGGTCCGAAGCAAACTTGTTCTGTGAGGGGCCGAACAATTCAGAGCAACCGGCATCTGATCAGCACGATCATAGAGGGTGTAAAAGACGATGATGAGGCCGCGCTCGTCAATTTGGATCAGTCCAAGGCATTTCATAAGGTTGACCATCGCTATCTTGCTGCTGTCCTGCAGGCCGCCGGATTCGCACCCGGCTTCTGCCGCTGGATTAGCCTCCTGTATCACTCCCCATGTGCTGTGGTACAGCAGAACGTAAAGCTGTCGGGAGCTTTTGCGCTGTCTAGGTCGGTTCGTCAGAGTTGTTCACTGTCGCCCCTACTTTATGCTTTGGTGTTGGAGCCTCTCCTTCGCTGGCTGAGGGACAGAGCGTGCAATTCGGCTCTACGCGGAATCGCCGTTCATGGAGGGGCTCGATCCAGGGTCTCCGCGTCCGCCGATGACGTATCTGCTTTCGTGTCGTCCCACAGCGACATTCAGGCGGTACTGAAGGCGCTTGATCGGTACGAAAAGGTGACAAGGGCCAAGATTAACCACGTCAAGTCGTTTGCTTGCGGTTAGGTGCCTGGAAGGGGGTTGATCTTCCGGGGCCCTTCGGTTGGATGGACCTCCAGCTGGAGAAAAATTGGCCTGAAGTACTAGCAAATGTCGACGCGGCCGGTCAAACATGGCGTCGACGGAGGTTGTCCGTAAAGGGCAGGGCGGAGGCGTGTGCCACTTACGTTTTGCCGATTGTCCTTTATCGATTATCCGTACTTCCTCTCCGTGACGACCATAGGAAGCCGCTCGAGTGTTCGTAATCCTCCATTTTATAGAGGTGATGCGGGAATCGGGTCAACAGAGTCCATGTCGGGGGTGGGGGTGGGGGCTGGTAATGCCACACTTGGCAAGCCACAAACTCGCCTCGAGGTTGGCTTTTCTACGCCTCGCATTGACAGGAGATTCGATTATGGCGGAGATTGTTAGGGGCGCGTTTCCTTTCCTTACTATCAGGTGTCCCATCTCGCTGATTGAGCGCCATCGTAAACCCCGGGATCAAACGGATTTCCTTCGCGATTGTCGGTCGGCCTTGCTGACCGTTCCTCGGTTCAGTGACCTTTCACAGCCTAAGAAGTTCTTCTATCGTCTTCTAGTGGAGAGGGTCACGAAGGATTCTCTACGTGAGCGGCTCGACTTGTCGGGGGGGGGAGTTTCGCTCTTTCTGGTTTTGGGCGCCAGCGGTGGATTATCTCAGTAAACCTCAGTTTTCGCTTACCTAGTGATTGGCTCGGAATCGGCTACCTCTCACAAGGTCTTCATATTGGGCTTCTCGGATTTGCCAGACTGTGAACAGCGTGGCCTTGGTCTGAAAGAAACGGATTCGCCCGCCTTCTACCATTGTCGCTGTGTCCACCCCTTATGGGACCAAGTCGGCGAGTTGACGACTTGTCTCGATCCCGAATAGCTCGTACTCATTGATCGAACATACGCGTATGACAATGTGTGACTCGAATGGTGTTTCTGACGCTGCTGGCCACGGCCCGAATGTTGATTTGGACGACGCGACAGGAGGAAGTCTTGCGAGGCAATCGTCTTTCTCATCAGGATCTGATCCGGTTCTTTGAGCATCAGCTCAAGGTGAAGATTACAACTGATAGAAAACGCTTGCATTAAACAGTCTTCAGCGAAAGGTGGGTGAAAGAAGCGAGCTTGGTTCGTTTGAATGGGGCTAACCTTGATTTTCTCTTTTAGGTCACCCTACCTCACATCGGGGTGGTTTCCTGCGGAGCCCTCCCCTTGGTTATGTTAGACAAGCTTTTGTCTACCTAGTTAATGTGAGTAAATGTTGTTCCTGACTTGCCTCTTTGGTTATGATTCAAATCAAGATTCCCCAATTTGTTTTGGCCTCCTTTTCATCTCGACTGGGTCTTTTATATTTCCTATGTCCGTATAATTTTTCTCCTTTCCCACTCCCTTAACGAGAGAGCCTCTTGATTTTGTCCAAATCGGCAGAATACAGTGGCCTCTCATTTTTGAGGGTTGGAAGGGCCCTACTAACATCAGTTATGTTTAGTTTCTTTTGTGTATCGTTTTAGTTTCTTATTGGGTTCATCTTCCTCCTCTCTCATTTTATTCATCCATAAATTTTTAAGTACACATATATAATCATTATATTTTTATGGTATGGGGCGCGTTTTGTAGGACCCCCTTGAGAAGATGTGTTATTATGGCGTATGGAGAACTGATTAGTGACGGACGAGTTTTTGTAGTGAATGAACAAATTGTAATGAGTGAAAGGGTCGTGAATCAGATTAGCTAGGTATAAGGTAGTTAGTTTCGACCAGCCTCAGCCCCTCCCCATTTCGGCCTTGTGCCATAATTGTGTAATTTTACGCAATAAATATTTAACATACGCCGTGAGAGAGTTGAGAATTTTATGCGCAATGAATTTGGCGTGAAGAAGCGTTCTTTTTTTCTGGTTGAATTCCACGTCCTTTGACACCTAATCAAAAGATACAAGGCTAACCATGTCACGGGAAAATCTGACATTGTTTGAGGCAGATCCAGCTGGTTTCCTTGAACGTTTGCTAAGATGAAAGTTGGATTCATCACATGGATTTCAGAGACAAAGAGACAATGCACTGGAAACGCCCCTTCTCGCCCGCTCCAAAAAAGGCCAACGTCGTTTCATCTACAGAGAAAATCATGGCGTCAGTGTTTTTGAGATGCAAACCTCACTCTGTTTATCTTCAAAAGTGTCACACTATCAATGAAGAGTACTGTACCAACTTGTTGAGACAATTACGAAAGTCTATCATGACCAAGCGACCAGGAAAAATGTCGAAAGGGGTCTTGTTTCAACAGAACAATGCTTCAGCGCAGAAGTATTTGGGTTAAATGGCTACTTGTGCGTGACTATGGCATTGAAATGGTTAATCACTCTCTATTTTTTTCTGATTTGACTATCATCTGTTACCTAACATGAAAGAACATGGCTGGAAACCATTATCGCAGTGATTCTGTCGTCATATCTGGTGTTGATGAAATTTTTACCATCAAGATGTACAGTCTTCTTTGAATAGTCAAATGTCAGTTTACATAAAAAGAAACAATGCGGTTATCAATTTTTAAAAAATCGTTGAAAATAATGCATGCAAGATTTCACAGTTCTAGAATCACTCCTTCAGAGTCAGCCAGTGACCTTTACAGTTCACCCTTGTACCCGGAAAAAAACAATGCAGTAATTAATAAGAAGAGTTAAAATTAATGCATGCACGATTTCACAGCTCAAGCATAATTATCCTAAGATTCCTTTCTTAAATCTTTCTTCGAAATCTTTTTGTATTTTTTTAATTTTTTGCCACTTCCAATTCGTTCCTTTTTCCCAAATATTGTCTTTTATGCTTTATTATTATTCTTCACTGTTTTCTTTCTTCAATTCTTATATGTCCACTCTTTTATTTCTCCTTTCTTCGGGTTTATTTTTTAACTCGTATATAATGAATAGCGGTTCGGATTGAGGAATCGGAGAGCCGAGTTCGAAGTCCAGTTGAATCCATTACATTCACTAACGTGCTAATACCTTTGGGAAAGGTATGAATCATCATCTTCTCCCCATCTATGGGTAAATAGCAGGATAGACCGGATTCTATAGCCTTGGATAGCAACTGGTCTACCGCAGAAAAAATGGCAATCTACTGCGGGAAAAAAAATCTGTCTCGTAAGTCATGTATCGAAGATGCATGATCGCCTAAGCGTTTATCACGCATGGCACATATCTGACTGGTTGATATATCCAGACCATTCTATCAATTATTCTTCCATATATCAGTGCGCCTTCTTGGCCTCACGTTTTCGGCTCACTTGAGGCGGGGCAACTACACTGAATCAATAGCTGCATGTACTAAAAGGAAAGTTAGTTCTCTGTGTCGTGTCAAAAGGTCTTCCTCATCAGAGACCATCTTACACATCTACAAATCTACCATTCCTCCGTGCATTTAATAAAATTGCCATATCTTCGTCTTTTACTCCTGCTGTTCATCTTGAGGTAATCGACAAAATCCAAAGAAGGATCTGCAATGTAATTGATCCTGATCTGGCAACTGACAGACGTGATTTGCCTTCCTCCCCAACCTTTTTCTTTTCAACAAATATTTTCAAGGCTACTGCTCTAACGTGTTTTTTTTTCCGTGGCATCTAGGTCCAATCTTTTACTGTTGAAATAATTATTTGTAACCGCCATTTTTACTCCAACAGTTTCTTTTCTGGACTGTGAACATCCTGTCCTCTTACTTGCTTCCCTGATAACAAAAATCTTCAAAAATTTAAATGCAGTGTCAACCACTGTCTTCTATTGACTTGATTCCCGTTCATCTTTGATCCTTTCTTTAATCCCCCCTATACTTAGTTTTTTTCTCTCACTTTCACTCTCTGTAACTCCCTAGAGCTAGTGGCACTCCTGCCTTGCTTGGGGTGAAATGATTTTAAGAATGATTTTTATTTGTTTATCTTTTACCAATGCTAACCGCCATACTTGACTATTCTTTCGCGTTTTCAGTTCTTTTTTTTCTTATCTTTCTTTTCTCTTTATCGTTCTGATTATTTTCTTCTTTTTTTATCTCCGCATCAATCACCCATGATTCTTTTTTTTTAATTTTAATGTACTTAATACAAATATAACAATAAAACACCAATTCTCATACGATCAATGATGTTAAGCAACGTTGAGTCTTGTCAATAACTAAATAGGTGACCACTTGGGAATAACAGATGTTTGTAAACTTGGCTGTGCGGCTGGTATAAAGGATAATGGCTCGGAATTTTTAATCGGAGAGCCGAGTTCCAACTTCCGTTGGCCTCGTTATATTTAGTTACGCGCAAATACCCTTCGGAAAGGTAGAAATTCACCTCTTATCCCCCACTATGGATTAATTAGACAAGCTTTCTACTCAGTATAAATCATTGTTATCTCAAAAAAATTCTTACAATCTAAAATTATTCTGACAAATTTATTAAATATTTTTTCTTCTCTTTTTAAATTTTCTCTTTATCTTCATGTTTGTCTTTACAATTCTCTTTTTGTCTTTCCTTTCTTTATTTTCTCTTTCTGTTTTTCTATTCTTCTTTTGTCTTTTCTTCTCTTTTTTCTCATTCACTTTTCTTTCTTCCCTTTTGTTTTTCTTTTCCTATTTTCCCTTTCGTTTTTTCTTTCTTCCAGAATTGTATTTTCTTTCTTTATTTTCTCTTTTTTTTTTTCTTCCTTTTCTCTTTTCTTTCTTTTTTTCATTTCAAACAATCTTTTTGTATTTTCTTTCGATTTTCTTTCGTTTTTCTTTTTCTTTTTTATTTCATTCTTTATTTTTTCTTTCGTTTTCAACTTTTTTCTCTTTTTATTTCTTTAAAGCAGTCTTTCGTTTTCTTTCTTCTTTTTTGTAAATAATTCTTTTTTTTTCTTCATCTCAGAAATTTTTCTTTTCTTTTTTATTCTTTATTTTTCTAGAGACCAACTTCTCTTTTTTCTTCCTCTCTTTTCTTTCACTTTTTCTCTTTCGTTTTTTCTTTTTCTTTTTTGTCTTTTCTTTCTTTATTTTCTCTTTCGTTTTTTTCTTTCTTTCTTTGTCTTTTTTGTTTATTTTCTTTCTTTTTCTTTCTTCTTTTTTTTTTTCATTCTTTTTTTCTTTTCTTCCTTTTTTCTTCTTTTTTCTCTTTCTTTATTTTCTCTTTCGTTTTTTCTTTCTTCTTTTTTGTCTTTTCTTTCTTTATTTTCTCATTCGTTTTTTCTTTCTTCTTTTTTGTCTTTTCTTTCTTTATTTTCTCTTTCGTTTTTTCTTTCTTCTTTTTTGTCTTTTCTTTCTTTATTTTCTCTTTCGTTTTTTCTTTCTTCTTTTTTGTCTTTTCTTCTTTTTTTCTCTTTTTATTTCTTTATTTTCTCTTTTCGTTTTTTTCTCTTTCGTTTTCTTTCTTCTTTTTTGTCTTTTCTTTTTTTTTTCTTTTCGTTTTTCTTCTTTTTTTTCTCTTTTTCTTTCTTTCTTTTCTCTTTTTTTTCTTTTCTTCTTTTTTTTCTTTTTCTTTCTTTTTTTTTCTTCCTTTTTTCTTTTTCTTTTTTTCTTTTTTCTTTCTTTTTTCTTTCGTTTTTCTTTCTTCCCTTTTTGTCTTTTCTTTCTTTATTTTCTCTTTCGTTTTTTTTTCTTCCTTTTTGTTTTTTTTCTTTTATTTTCTTTCTTTTTTCTTTTTCGTTTTTTTTTCTTCCTTTTCTTTTTCTTTCTTTTATTTTCTCATTCGTTTTTTTCTTTCTTTCTTTTTTTCTTTTTCTTTCTTTTTCGTTTTCTTTTTTCGTTTTTTTCTTTTCTTTCTTTATTTTTTTTCTTTTCTTTCTTTATTTTCTTTTTCGTTTTTCTTTCTTTTTCTTTTTTTTTTTTTTTTCTTTTATTTTCTCTTTCGTTTTTCTTTCTTCTTTTTTTTTTCTTTTTTATTTTCTTTTCTTTCGTTTTTTTTTTTCTTTTTTTTTTTTTTCTTTTTTCTTTCTTTTTCTTTTTTTTTTCGTTTTTTTTTTTTTCCCTTTTTCTTTTTCTTTTTCTTTTCTTTTTTTTTTCTTTCGTTTTTTTTTTCTTTTTTTGTCTTTTCTTTCTTTATTTTCTCTTTCGTTTTTTCTTTCTTCCTTTTTCTCTTTTCTTTCTTTATTTTCTCTTTCGTTTTTTCTTTCTTCCCTTTTTCTTTTTTCTTTCTTTATTTTCTCTTTCGTTTTTTCTTTCTTCCTTTTTCTTTTTCTTTCTTTATTTTTCTCTCTTTCGTTTTTCTT